CATCCACTTAGGAATGGTGATAATTCTAAATACAGTTATATGTTATAAAAACTGATTTTGCAAGATGAACTATCTTTATCATTCAAATCTGTAAATATCTGGTTAGATACAATTATTAAATACACTAACTTTTTACTTCCTGTATATATGATCCAACAAACTTACATAATGGTATGTTTAATCTTACTTTGCGGAAATGTCAACAGAGCACATACTTGTATGCCATTTTGTCAGTTTAAATGGTGAAATGTAATTATTTTCAGATATTTTTTCTTCCATTATTTTTGGCTAGATCTAGTCCTTTACCACCTCAATTTTTACTGGTTTGATAGAGAAGTCTTTCTACTAATTTCAATCTAAAGAAATTTAGCAAGCTCATTATGAAGGTGCTATTGTGTTTCAAATGCAGAATGTCATTTTTGACCTTTCCATCACCACTAGAAAGTTTATCAAATGTCATTTCAAAGGTTTTGTTAAAGACTAATTACTTTGTACACACACACAAGTCAGTCATTTCTAACAATGGAGTTCTCACAAAACTAATTCTAGCAAGTGACTGTATGTTGGCATAACAAGTTCTTCCCTAATTGTTGTTTTGTTGCTATAATACTTCTGCTTACTTGTGGGTCTTACTCATGTCTCTGAAGTAAAATCCTTTATTGTGTGCAAACACTCAAGCCCAAGAAAGTAACTGTGACTTTCTTATCACTCACAGTAACATTTACTTTGGTGCTTATTAATCCTCGAAGATAACATCAACAAGCAGAACCTTTCTGGGTCCATGTTTACAGGGCAAGGTCAGTGGTTTATTTTGTTGTATGCATACTCCACCATTCTTCCACAGGGGGTGGCTAGCTTATTTAATTGCCTCAACTTAGTATTACCTGATAAAATGGTCACACCTAACCTTGATTGGAAGCTGAACTCTATACTTGCCATTTATTGCTGTCATCAAACCTTTTCCTGTACCTTGGTGCCCCACAGAGTTAAAAAGTAACCACTGCTTTAAGCTACAGTGAACCTATTCCTTGGAGCTTTGGTTGGAATCACAACCTCACACTAGGAAGCCTGTGTCACAAATTTCATCAATAAAATTGGATTTTTCACATCCACATGATGGCCGGAGGCTTGATGTGATATAACTTTTAATAAACTTGCAGCCCAGGATAATCAAATCTTTTAACATCACCATCAGTATACATTAGAAAGCAAGTGATAAAAGTTGTCTGCATTAGTGGCCATATCTTCAAAATCATAGTAAGTTACTAAGTTTATACTTTAAAGGGGTGCTAGGTTGGTTATTTTGTCATTCACTTTACCCATAACTTAAACCTCATAAGAAATTGTTCCAGATTACCCCTAGCCAACTATTAGAGCATTAATTGACTTTCAGATTCAGCTAATTTCATTAGATTATTTTATCCATTTGGATCGATATTCTCCCATTGTTATATGCTACAATCATGTATTCATTTAGTGATTTCATCAATCAGAGTGTGCGTGTGGCTGTTGTCAGTCCTATGGTCATAGTCCTCATCAAAATTCCTTTATGGTACATTACAACAGGCAATTCTTCTACAAAATTAAGACAGTCCCTGAGGGCAGTACATGTAGTGAACATTATCACTGATGTCTTCTAATATACAAAGAAATTTCTTATAAACTATGGTTCCATTATAACTTCAATATAATAACTCTTACATCTTCAATCACTTTACATATTTGGCAAACAACATACTTCTGAACAGCTATATTTTTCAACAACTTCTATGCAAATCCCTTTTCTGCAGAAAACAATATATATTAATTACAGACACAAATACTGGTCATTTCATGAAAACATTTGTGGTTCCCTTGGGCAAATGTATGTTTTATCTTAGAGCAGAACTACAATAAACTAAAATCAAATCTGACAGAGATATGTATTAATTTCCCAAAAGAATGCTCAGAAGCTTTATTTCAACAAACACAGAGTATACTTAAAGGTCAAATAATAGAATAATTGCCATAAATTTTATCTTCTAATGTCTGTTTTTAACTACAAAAGTTAGTTTTATTAAGGAAGCTTCCCTAACATAATTAGTGTTTTAAATTTGCAATTCATTCAAACTTTGTGTCCTAAGAGGACACAAATTTTCATACAACTGCCTGGAATTATCACACTTATCAACCCTATCTACGCCTAAGTGATTAACTATGCACACCAATGATAAAGAAAATTTCAACTATTCAATCAATTATGGCTAATCAAAACATATAAATCACATCATATGGACCTATTTTTCACAGGCATCTATAAAGAAAATTCAAACAGCAGGTAGTATCAGAGAATGCCCTTTCACCATTACAGGGTCTCCTAGCAAAGTTTACAAAAAATCTTCTAAAACCAAAAATACTCCTTAAGAAACTAATAGGCCATATCTTTACATAACTGCACAATAAAAGAACATTAAATTTCTTCAAAGTTAGATTCATGTAACAAAAAAACACAGTACAATAGACAAGTTAAATTTAGTTAAAATTACATTACTAACAACTTTATCAATTCAGTCATAATGCTGTAATTAAACTGAATTTTAAATGTAATTCGTATCTCTTTTAACAATAAGTGAGAATCCATTCTACTCAACAGGAATATTACCCATTTGTTTACTTACATCTGTACAAATGCTACATACAATTGTATCACAAGCAACTATTTCACTTTAAACAAAAAGACAAATGAATGTACGTATCTGATAAGGAACTAAATACAAGTTATCCAAGTTTGTCTTTAAAATAAGACAGTAATCACTCAATTTCCACTCACAGGATTGAAGTGCTTATTAAATCATTGTACAGGGTACCGTTATACTTTATCTTACAGTAGTCAATGAACTAAATACCTTTTATTGTAGATGCAGATCTTAAATCCCCACTAGACTGAAATAACCTTTCAAATAATCCCTTGAAAATACACACTTGTACAGAAATGCTGATAAAACTCAGTTTTGTAAGACAACATAAGCCATAAATGTAAACAACATAATATTGAATATTTTACTCTGACTCTGAGTAGATATTGCTAAACACAATATCAATACAAATATAAAATCAAATGGTTTCATGTTTACTATTTGTTCTACAGATTTTGAAGTTCTGATGAATCATTTTTTAATACTTGATATACTATAACTGCAATCTCAAGTAGTTTTCTGCTTGTACACTGGAATTTCTTAAGGAAATATTTATACTTAAACTGGTAATTTGTATAAATGCTATAACCTAGTAGTACTTGGATTAATCAAGATAGAAATAATTATAAAACTTAAAGGATGAAGCACATTTTGTTATGGTGGATTGATTACTTTGAGGAATATTTAAATAATTCAAATGAAATTTCAAATTGACTTTTTGCTACTGAAAAGTATTTTATAACAAACTTGAAGTTCTGACTCCTATCACATAGAATGTTTTCATAAAGTTTATTAGATTGACTTAATGATAGGCTACCACAAAAAGTGATTTGAAATGCTTTAAGAAACTAACAGAAGTTACATCAGAAACATTTAATAAATTAATCTAAATATTGTCTTTACATATTGTGATGATCAACGTTTTTAACTTCAGCTACACATATCACTGATGACTTGGTATTCCATTCTGTATTTATTATTCAATCTTTCCAGAATAAACATATGACCAAAGAAATAATGAAGTGAAGTTATCTATTACTATTTAATTTGAACCAAATACAAGAACTGAGCTAAATAATATGAAATCATCTTTGTCTTATATTTCCTATTGAAGTGTATGAGATTAGGTAATACATGTACAATATATATAAAGAACAATATTTGAAAATGGTCATATTTTCTATAAATTAAAAATAATAATATAGAGTAATGAATATTATCAGTTTATAACAAGTTACAAAATTTATTTGATTTTGCATTTCTGAAAGCAAAACATATAAGCATTAATGTTTTTTTCAGTATAACACATTCAAGTATTTACTATGTGTTTGAAAATAACTGCAAACTTCTGAAAAGCACATTTACAGGGGTTGGATAAAATAAAGGAAAAATACCACTTTTTGTTTTTGAATTCCAAGTTTTGGTCTATAAGAGACGGAAAATATAGTCATGTGATATAAATTTAACTGTAAATTATTCTATATATTAATGAATTTGTCTTTATACCAATAGTACATACTTTTATTTCAGAGAAATGTAATCAAATATTTCAAACAAAAAAATACCTCAGGTTTCAAAAAAAGCATGACTAAGTGGACCATCTTTAACACAAATGGTTACAATTTAAAGCATCATGAGATACAGTGTAAAAATTATGCCAGAATGGATATGGAAAAATTAAACTACATCAAACAAACAAAACAATGTCAAGGAAACTAAGCCGACAGATTGTAACAGACAAACATTAACACAAGTAGTGAAACAAAAATAAAAGATTGCAGTATCAAGCATGTGCATAGAACCTCATGATAGCTTACAAATACTAATCTATCAAAAGAACTCAGTGAGTTGCACAAGATGGGCTACCATGGTAATGCTGCTATTCAGTCCTCTAATAAAACCAAATAAAATATGGTGTCAGGAAAAGACAATGGACCAAGATCAATGAAAAAATGTGATTTAGTTAGATGAAGCATCTTTTACGTTTCCTTATCAAACATATGTTTAAGTCTAGTGAAAAATTAAAAGAAGATTATCGCTCTCAATTTCTTGTGCTATAAGCTAAACATGGTGGAGACTCTGTGATGGTATGAACAGCTTTCTGTTAGTTGGAATTGTTTAGGGATTATGATCTTACTGAAAAGTAACGTGATGGCAAGTAATCACTCAACTTATTGCAGACCAGGTTT